AGAGAATGTCAGAGCAGCTATGTGTTCTGGGTCTTCGGTAAGAAGCATGTGTTATAGGGACTGGATTGAATTCAAATAGAGTTACAGGCCTGTGGATCCCTTGTGCATTGCTTGATCCTCAGGGCCTGGGACCCGGCCTGCCACAGAAGAGGCTCAGATGGTTGCTTGAATTACCACAGTTGGACAGCTTTGAAAACAGTAATATTGTCCAACTGGGAATAATTCCTTCATGGAAGTTGCTTGCTTTTTTCTGTATGTCTGGTAAAGATCTCTTTGGTCATTCCAAACACTGTGAATGCCCCCGGGCACTGGTGATACAGCAGAGCCTGAAACAGATAAAAGTCCCTGCCTTATTCTCTAAACAGGAGCAAGACAAATAGGCCCATTATTACTATCACTGCCAACTTTGTACTGCATTAACCAACACATTAAAAAACTTGGAGGTATCATTTTAGATGATACCATTGTATGCCTGGAACACTCAAGAAAATCAACTGTAAAACCTCTGTAAACATTAAGAGAATCCAATAAGGTAATTATAATTCTATAATTATAGCATTAATATTTAGGAACCAGTAGCCCTTTTTTTCTTTTTAACTTTTTATTGTGATTTGGATGCAACTTTGCAAAGCAGATTCATTTTCCATTCAACAGTTCATATACATTTTGTTTTGTGACACTGATTACAATCCCCACAGTGTGATAGCTCTTCTCCCACCTCCTCTTTCTGGTCACCCCTGTGTCTATCTAACCTATGCATCCCTGCCTGTCTGTCTTTCTCCTTGGGCAAATGCTGCCCTTGTGATCTCTGCGGGTTGTCTATTCAAGGTGTGCATCTCCCTGGTGTAGTTGTGCAGCTCGTGGGCATGTATCTTGTTTGGCTGAGAATTGAGCCATGGAAGTGAGTCCAGTTGCAGGTCTGAAGAGTGACACGGGGCCATAGTCTTGAAGGTTTCACCAGTCTCTACCCAACCCAGTAATCCTGTTCTGTTTTGTTTGTTTTTTATGAGAAACCAGTAACTGTTATATGCACAAACAAAAAATAATTTAATGGGGAAAATAATCACATTTTCAATAGCATCAAAAAGGGTAGAACTACCAGGAATAAATTTAACAGGAAATATATAAATGTATATGAGGAATAATGTAAAATGCAGTTGAAAGACACAGAAATAAATTGAACCAGTGGAAAGCCATGACATAAGAAAGTGTTACACAGGAGGACTTCAGTATTTTACAGATATCAGTTCTCCCTAAATTAATTTTTAGTGTTAGCACAGTCCCAACAAAGCATACCAGCAGATTGGGTCCATCTTCTCCCTCCCTCCCTCATCTCTCCGTCCCCCCCTTTCCTTTCAAACGCTGTAAGTTTATTCTGAAGGGTATGTGTAATTATGAGTAAGCAAGAGTGGCCAGGAAAACCCAGACGTATTAAATCACTTCAAAGCTTTAACAATGAAAACAGTGTAATGTATATGAACAGGCAGACCAGTGGTACAGAATACAAAGTTTAGAAAGAGATCTAATCTGAGGACATATGAGACTTTAGTAGATGATCTAACTTGCACTTCTAATTATTGGAGTAGAAATGACGTTTTTAATAAACATTGTTGGGATAAGCAGGTTGCTGTCTGGCAAAAGATAGATAAACCATACTTCCCACTCTGCATTGATTCTAGTCTCTGAGGCTCTGCTATAACAAACAGCTCCCCCCCCCCCCAATGTGAGTGACTTAGCACAATTAAGCTTTGGTTCATGCTCACATCACACTTGCATAGGAAAGCTGGACTCAGGGATCCCAGCTGCTTCCGTCCGTTATGTGTGTCTGCTGTCTCATGCTCCTTCTTCACCTGGGACCAGGATTCTTGCCAAAAACGTGTGTCACTTCCACTCACTTCCCTTTTTTTGAGTACCCAGGACTAGTTACCTCTAACCAAGACCCAAACGCAAACCCAGTGCCAGGGTGGAAAATGTAGTCTTCATGTGTGCCCAGGAAGAAAAACCAGGGTTTGTAAATACCTAGCCAGCCTCTGTATCAGTCCATCAGGATAAACTCCAAATGGATCCAGGGTCTTCATATTTTAAAAAAAGGAGACTGTTTGTTTCGGTTACTTAGTATCACTCTAACAAGAATATACCACAGATGGGATGACTGAACAAACAGGAGTTTATCCTCTTACAGTTTGCAGGCTTTAAGTCCGAGTTCAAAGTGCCGGGCTCTAGGGGCTAGATGAAAGCCCTTCAGCCTTGGGCTTCAGCTCTGCCTCTTCCCGGCCCACTGAAGCTAGAGGCTTTTCTTCACTCAGACAGCTACTGGCTGCTGAGGCTGACAAGCAAAAAGGCACAGTCCTGATGTTAGCAAACCACACGGCAGGTCATTAATTCAAGTCCATTGGAAGTCCCAGGGTCAGCAGAGCATGTCAGGCTGCTGAACAATGACTTGGCTACATGCAGGGTTCAAGCGTGTCATAAGCTAGAGACCGTTCCCCAAGGCTTCTTATATACAGGAAGCAGACCACATCCCTAAGGGAGCTACTCAGCTTCTCACAATAGATTCCACCATGGAGCTGATTACCAGGCTCTTCATGGGGAATACTACATTCAGCTGCCCAGCCAAGTTGACATACAAACTTAACTACCACACTGTTCTAGAAAAAATATATATATATACAGATTTTTCTCTAGAAGGCTAGAGAAGACCTTTCTAAACTATAAAAGAAGATTGATAAATTGAATAAAAATCAAATCTTCAGGATCAAAAAAAAAAAAAAATGTACACACACTCCTCACCGTAAGAAAGGGAGGGTGAACTGGGAAAATATATTTGTAATCCATATCACAGACAAGAATCTAAATTTACCTAACATACAAAGAACTCATAGAACATGGGGTTGTTGTTGTCGTCAGGTGCCGTCAAGTCAGCTCCAGGTAATAGTGACCCTCTGTACAACAGAATGAAACACAGTAAGAAATAACAAAAGGTTTTCTGTACAAAGAAGACTACAAAAGACTACTTCAAGAAACCATGAGAGATATATATAAATGGAAGAACATACCATGCTCATGGATAGGAAGATTGACCATGGTGAATATGTCAGTTCTGCCCAAAGCAATCTGTACATTCAATGCAATCCCAATCCAGATCCCATCAATGTTCTTTAAGGATATGGAAAAATCAATCACTAAGAAATAGCAAAAGGTCTTATAGAGGACTAAACCAAAAACCAGACTCAATGCTGTCAAGTCGGATCTGACCCATAGTGACCCCTCCTTGGGTCTCCGAGGCGTTATCACTCGGAAGTAGATTGCCCAGTCTTCCTTCCAAGGAGTGGCTGGTGGGTTTGAACCGCCAGCCTTCTAGTTAGCAGTCAGACGCCTTAGGTACTATGCCACCAGAGCTGCTAATAGTGGACTAGGCAGAAGATATGGATAAACTGTTCATAAAAGAAACCAGAGATGGTACTGAAACATAAAAAGATAAGATACTCAGCCTCACTTATTGTAAGAGAAATGTAGACTAAAACTGCTCTGAGATACCATGTTCCCCTTGTCTAATGGTGGACATCCAAGTGAGTCAGCACATTTTTTTGGTAACGTTGTGGGAAGGCAGGTACTCTCATGCACAGCTGATGGGGGTCCACGATGGTACAGCCATTTGAGTGATCTAGCGGTATTACAAGTATGTACGTTCTTTGACGTAACAGTTCCACTTCTGGAATTTTATAGGTAAACTTGGACACATATGGAATGTTAAGTTCAAGATTACCCATTGCAGCATTATTTGTGAGAGGAAATAAACGAGAACCACCTGAGTGTCCATTAGTAGGAGACAGGAATAAGTGTTGTGGCATAGCCATCCTGTCCAGTGTTGTGCAGCTATGGGGAGAACAAGAGGACTGAGCAGTCTCTGTCACCAGGGTACAGTGTTCAGTGAAAAGAGTAAGGTGAAAAGCAGTTCATGTAGACAGGCCTTTTCCTGTAAGATAAAGGGGAAAATAAGAATATATATTTGTATTTGCACTTTGAAGCACTGTGGGGAGCTGCTGAAAGACTCCCTGCCAGAAGATGGGTGTGGACCCCCACTCCTGGCACTTCCTGCCTGGGGGACATGAGTGAGTCTCTTCACCTGTCTGGGGTGAGGTGTGTTCACTTTTAATGCAGGGGCGTGGCTGGGGCTGCTGCCCTCCCCGTAAATATGTAAAATACGTTCTTACATGTGTAGGCCCCTTTCACGCCCCTCCTCCTCTTAACACCCACTTCTACATATTTTTATATACACACTGAAGGAGTTCTGGTAGCACAGTGGTTAAAGGACTTAGCTGCTAACCAAAAAGTCAGCCGTTTGAACCCACCAGTCTCTCTGTAGGAGAAAGATAAGGCAGTCTGCTTCTGTAAGGATTGTGGCCTTGGAAACCCTATGGGGCATTTCTGCTCTGTGCTGTAGGGTCACTTTGAGTTAAAATCGACTCAGTGGCCTTGTTGGGTATATCTTTTTTTTTCCCCCAGAAAAAAAATTACTTTAAAAAAAAAAACACTAATCAGAAGGTTACCTGTGGGGTCTGGAGGAACATGGCATAGGGTGGTTCAAGTGGGGGTGAGAGGTATCCATTCAATTATCTCTTTATAAAGAGGTGTTGTTGTTGTTATGTGCCGTCGAACTGGCCCCGACTCATAGCAACCCCTCCTTGGGTTTCCGAGGCGATATCACTACGGAAGTAGGTTTGCCCAACCTTCCTTCTGAGGAGTGGCTGGTGGGTTTGAACCACCAGCCTTCTGGTTAGCAGTCAGGTGCCTTACGCTCTATGCGACCAGAGCTCCTTTATAAAGAGGAGTCCCCTCTAATGGCAGAAAGAGGAGGAAAGGGACAGCAGCATTAATGGTGTAGATTTTCACCGCTCAGCAATCAGAGGTTTATTCCCTGTACCTTTGTGCCAGACATGTCGTGGACACAGTTCCTCCATTGAAATTGTTGACTGGCTTTAAATCTCTTTTGTTCTCAGTTGCCTGGACTTGGAGCAGTGTTCTCTTAAGGTGCTGGAGCCTGAAGGAAGCCCAAGCCTGTGTTTACTGAAGCTGATGGGTGAAAAGGGTTGCACGGTCGCAGAACTGAGTGACTTCCTGCAGGCCATGGAGCACACAGATGTCCTCCCGCTTCTCAGCCCCCCGGGTAGGTGTTTCCCCAGGTGTACCCGCCAGGGGTTCACGGAGACACAATGAGAGGCAGATTGTGCAGAGTGTTTTTGGAAAATGTATGTGTGTAGAGCCTCATTTTTTTTCCCCAAGTATTTGACTGAAATCTAATCCAGCTTTTAAACATGACTGCTGGTTTATAAGAAATACAGGGAATAGCATTGCGACTTGAACCAAGTCATCAGGAAATTATCAGAAAAATCCTGAATGTGGGGTGTCTTGTAGGAAAATTTTTGGGAAATGTCAGGGTCAAAACAAAAGGGGTTAACAGTCTACCTGAATTTTTTTTTTTTTTTTTAAATTGTGATTTTGGTGAAAGTTTACAGAGCAAATTCACTTTCCATATAGCAGTTCACACACACATTGTCACATGACATTGACTACAGTTTACCCCAGTGCAACAGCTCCCCTTCCACTTCCTCCTGATAGTTATCTCTTCCCTGTGTCCATCCTTCCATGCACTCCTGCCTCCTGAGCTGTCTCCCTATGCATAAATAGCCCTTCTCCCACAATTGTTCTCTCCAAGGAATGCATCTACCTCCGGTAAATGTTTACCTCATATGCCTGTCTTTTGTTTGGCTGAAAGCCACAGGTGTGGGTTCAGTCCCAGACCTGAAGGGCAGCTAGGGGCCATAGTCTCAATGGTTCTACCAGGTTCTATCAGACCAGCAAACCTGGTCCCCCTTTTTTTCCCCAAATGATTTTGAGTTTTCTTCCACATTGTTCTCCCTCTCTATCCAGGATCTCTTACACAGATCCTTTCGAGTGATTGACAGTGGTAGCTGGGCACCTTCTAGTTCTTCTGGTCTCATAGTCGTATGGGCTGAAGATTGCATGGTGTACCAGTCTCAAGGACTAATTGTTTCCGTGAATCTTTGGTTTCCTTCATTCTTCTTTGCTCTGGACTATGAGAGACCCATCGTTGCACCTAGATGGCTGCTTGCAAGCTTTTAAGATCCAGCGGCTACTCTCCAAAATAGGAGGTGGAACAGTGTTTCGTGCAGTATGTTATGCCAATTGAGCTTGATGTCCCCTGTGACTATGCTCCCAAGCTCACAGGTTCAACTACTTGTTCCTTCTGGGTAGCTGGCTGTGACCAAGAAGTGACTACAACCTTGTCCCTTGTCAGCTCTTCTGTACCCTGGGAATGCTTACAGAACATACAGATATACTTGTAGAACTGTTGTCTGCCAACCCTATATATGGTCTTGGGTACACTCCCTGCTGCATAGACATACCTAATAGTTCAGCCTGTCCACCCATCTATCAACCCGTATACCCATGTTTGCCTTCACTGACAACGCAGTACTGCATGTGCAAAAGGGTTCATCTTTGTTGTCTGTACCTCCCATGTACCTCTCTATGTTTTCCTCTTCCTTGATGCCATCATGTTGATCACTCACATTTGGTACATTGCCCTTCTCTTCACCCAAATCAATACTTATCTCTACCTATCTAACAGTGTTCCCTACCCTGCTACCCCTGGTAACCAACAAAGAAAATTTCCTTCCATAGATAAACCTTTCCTTAACTTTTACAATAACGGACTAATACAATATTTGTCCTTCTGTAATTGACTTATTTTACTCAGCATAATGTCCTCCAAGTTCATCCACGTTATGCGGTGTTTTGCAGATTCTACATTATTCTTCAGCGTTGTATAGTATTTGCAAAAACTACAAGGAGGCCACATGTTCTGACCTCCTCTAACCCTACAAGGGGAAGGCAGGATTACCAGCAGTAACCCAAGGCCTATTACTGCAAGGCCAAACATGCTGCCTCCCTCCAGCTCTTTCACCAACCGTTCCTCCCAAAGC